CTCTGTCCCATCACCACCATCGCAAAGGGGCAAAGACCCGAAGTAGGGTGAGTGCTGGGAAGCATCTAATGGTGTAAAGGCTATGGTGTCGAGGGCTGGGGAAGGGGAAGACTCAGAAAGGGGGTGGTGAGGGGGATTAAAGAAATAAAAATCCTATTGCGTGGGAAGCCCTAGAGAAAACTGGATGTGGGGTGCACACGCATCCTAGTCTCAGCTCTGCGGCGGATAGCTGGCGCCGTGTTTTGTAAAATGGGAAGTGGAGCTCTTGCTCGCAAACTCAACAGCCGCTGGGAGGTGCCTGGACTCAGGAGTGTGATTTCAGGGGGCTGAGTCCAGGCTGGGAGACCCATAAGTCAAACTGAGCTGCCTTGGGAAGTTCTGACAAAGGGGGTGTTTCCTGACGCTTAGGAAGTGCGGCTTGTCACCTTTTAACACCTGGAAGGATTAATTTAGCATAATTGCTAGTTGTCATGCAACAAATGGCAAATCACTGTGAAATGAGAAATAAAGCAGGTAATTTTTTTGTTGTTTTAACTTTTTACTTGGAAATAATTTCAGGCTTGTACAAAAGTCAGATGGCTAAGAATAGTATAGAGAACACCCTTTTACCCGGAGTCAGCTTTAACATTATATCTCATTGGTTTAATATTTACATAGTGTGTGTGTGTGTGTGTGTGTGTGTGTGAATACATATAGAAAGAGAGTCTCTGTGTGGTGCTGCTAACTGGTTAGTTGAAGAGGCAGAAGGACATGTTGATTAGGGGACTTTTCTCACAATACAGTACAAGGATCAACTTCCATCAATGTAACTTTGACACAATAGTTTCATTTAGTCTGCCATTTTAATACCAATTTTCCCACCCAAACTTGTCCTTCGAAGCCTTTTCCTGAAATGATCAAGCCAGGATACTCACTCTCAGTGCCATCGAGTCAAGGCCAACTCAGAGTGACCCTATGGGACCAGGTAGAACTGGCCCTGTGAGTTGACAAGACGAACTCTTTGTGGGAACAGACAGCCCCATCTTTCACCTGAGAAGTGGCTGGTGGGTTTGAATTGCTGAGCTTGTGGTTAGCAGACCACGGTAACCAGTACACCACCAGATTCCTTTAGCCAGGATACCAGGAGTGAAAATCTAAATTTGATAGGAAGAATGAATATGACTGATAAGGATGGGTGGTGGGAGAGCTTTTCAATCTGATAGGATACCTTGCAGGGCAAGACTAGGGAATAGTGAACATGCAGTATCAGAGTAAGGAGTACAATCCATTTTGAAGGACTGAAAGACCTAAACGACATTCTTTAGCTAGTGAAGGGGAAAATCAGTATTGTACAGGAGTCAAAATTTAATGCACTATAAAATAGAATGCACAACTAATGGGGTCTTTATATTCTATGACAGTTCTTACCTGCTTCGGACTCCTCCATGTCCACTATTGCTGGGAATGAACTGTACTTATAGTTGCCAGTTAAAAGTAATTCAGTCCCTACTCTCTCCTCCTCCCCCTCCTTCATCTGCTCCCTTGTGCTCCGATCAGAGATCAGATATGTCCCTCTCCTGGAGCTGCGGATTCAATGCTGTCCTTTGAAATAAGTTCTTCTGGGGGGAGGGGCAGGTGTCCACTTAGTATTTGGGGCTGGGGCCAGCCGCCCAGACCTCTCCACTGGTTCCCTACTCCACGCAAGCATGTTGCATTCACACCTTGGTGCACTGGGTTGAAGTCTGGTCCCTCTTTCCCTGTGGAGATATAAACAATATCCTCCCCTTGGGTGGGTTAGCGTCCCATGCTCCCGCTACCCATTTCTTCCTTATTATCATCATTTTTTTTTCCTTTCCCCACCTCCTTCCCAGTTGTCTACCATGTGCATCCTTACATTTGATCTGGTCCCTGCCATACTACCCGGTCCTCACTCCAGGAATGTTTGTATACAGCAGCTTTTTCCCTATGCCCCTTTTGCATTTTTTTTTAAAGCTTAGCTCAGCGGACTCATGTTGTACTTGTCCTTTTGTGCTTGACTTACTTCGCTTAGCATGGTTTCCTCCAGTTCTTCCCTTGCAACAATGTGCTTCATACGTTCATCACTGCTTTTTAGCGATGCATAGTACTCCATTGTATGTATATA